TGTGTGTGTGTGTTTTTGCGTGTGTGTGTGTGTGTTTTGAAGCCAGTCGGCCCTCAGGCCCATTCATGTCTTTGTGCTTTTGCAGGAACGTGTGTGTGTGCTTCTGCTGTGAGGAGCGTCTCCTCACAGCAGTCACCATCACATGCCAACAACAAGTTGCGTCATAAACGCACGTTTGTCCGTCGAGGCATCCTGGCTCGCGTGTTTTGTGGTGCCCGTCTAATGAGACACACTTGCATTGTTTTTAGTGTGGGAACCGCAGGAGGGGTGGTGGGTGCTCGTCCCTGAGGAAGCCCCCTGGGACAAGCGTTTTTTTTCTGTGCAACCCTGGAGACGCGGCTTAACACACACGCTGAAGTCCATTTGAGTGACACGGGCACTGATTAGCATCTCGCTATTGTGTTCAGAGGAATCAGTAGCAAGTGGTGCATTCAAATGTCAGAGCGCAATTGAGTTCCTGTATGAAAATAAAATAAGTAAATAGGACAAATGCAACACAACTACATTGATTTTTTTTTGTTCACTGTTTCTTGTCATGAGTGGCGCTGTCCACTGTTTGCATGCCATCCCCCTTAACATCATCATGGCGTGTGCCGGGTCAAAGTCATTGTTGGGGTCACCACTTTCCCACGCACACACACGCAAGACACCATCTGGAGGGAAAGGGCGCTGGCCGCCGGTGACAGCTGTTAGTTGAAGTGTGCCAAATCCCTCTGGAGTTTGGAGGTAGCGGCCTGCCGGTGGCGCCCTCGCGCAGCTCTTTCACAAACTCATCATGTCATCCCTGAAAGTGGCACACGTCAGAGGCTGATAACCGACAATGTCAAATTTAAGAACAATTTAATCATAGTCTCAAGAAAAAAAAAAGTCTTCATTATGAATGTATTTTGTACTATACGTGATTATGGACACACACCAAAAAAATAAGGCTAACAAGGTTCAGCGTGAGTAAAACTCAAAGTAACACACCGAAACAAGAAGAAAAACCTCCCCAAAGCATGAAGCCTGAAGAGAGGTACGTGACAGCTGAAAGCAACAACGAACCAAGAACTCAACAAAGCCACTGAATTCAAACAAGCAATGTGAAGAAACTATGAGGCACACCTGGACAAAACACAAGCGGCTGGAGAGAGCTGATTGGGAGACACGAGGAACCTGTCTGACAAGAACAGGTAGAAACTACGATTGAACCGTAGCCATGATATTAGAACAGGACACGGGTTATAAAAATAAACAAACATGCGAAAAAAATGTGGATTTGAAATTCTCGCGACTCAGGTGCTGCATAAGAAAGTCGAGAAAAAAACCCGTGTTAGTGTTCTCATCATTGAGTAATTTCCTCTGTATTGATTTTTGTTTTAGTTCGTTAATTTATTTATTTTTTTTACCAATATTGTCATGTTGTTGCTCATGATGGCGCAATCACATCGCGGCAGGTCAAAGGTCAGCTTCAATTGTCCCGCATCGGCTCTGAGAGAGACTCCGCTCCGCTTTCCCACACCGGCAACAATGCAAGCGTGTGCCATTATGCAGCGCATCAGAGAGCCCCTTTCACGCCGTCACTTCAGCGGGAGCATTTGGCGTGTGGAATCAACTTTGACCTTCGACCTTTGCAAATGGTTCCCACCGCCGTGTTTCATGGCCAACAAGTGAAGGAGACGCCGAGCTGATGGTTTGCACCTTTGATTCAGTCCAGGACGCTGGAATGTTGGACGTCATTCATCAAAACGCATCAACAGTGGTGATATGCTTCAAATTGAAGCATATGATATTTTCCCATACTTTAGTTTTCCAAAAAACTCTTTTGTGTCCTTCTTGAAAAGCAAATTGGAGGTGATCTTCTCACCTTGATGTTAGATGACATTTGAATGCAACGCTGACTCGCAATAGACACGTGAAGACATCACGTTGACCACTGAGGCCAAAATGACATTTGAATGCAGCGCTTGGATGACCGATTAGCTCAACGGACATTTCAACTTGACACTTTCACCGTCATTTTGAGAAAAAGTCAAAACAGTGGGACATGTAACGCGACCAGCATGAGCACTAAAACATCACACTGGTTACATTTCCGAAAGGATTTTGGTCATGGCGCACATAGCCCCCCACCTCCCGAAAAAAATGCTAATGGAGTGTGCCTGCCCCAAGATGTGCTCTCTCCAGGGTCAGCACTTTCCCACCAGACCCCTCGAAGACCCTCACAAAGCCTTCCTTACGTCGCGCAGTGGTCCAGCTGCTCCCCTGAGATGTAACTATTGTCCCCCCCCCCACCCCACACACCCCCATGCCGCTCTCTGATTGGCCGCCTCCCAGTGTGGGAAAGTGCAGAGGCCCGCATTGATATGGAGATGCGGAACTACAAATAGGAGGCATGAAGCCAGCAGAAAGCACCTCGAGCGCAGCCAGCACACACATCCAGCCATGGCACCTGCGATCTCTCTGCAAGACGCTCACCTGACTCTCACACACAAGGTACGTTGATCTTCATCGTCCCATCATCGTCACGGTCGTCGTCTTCGACAAGCGTCCTCATCCCACGTTTGTTCCCAGCGCAGGTCCGAAAGCCTCTGGTGGAGAAGTTCCGGCGAGAGCGAATCAACAGCAGCATCGAGCAGCTCAAGTCTCTCCTGGCCGCCGAGTTCCTCCGGCAGCACAACGACTCCAAGATGGACAAGGCGGACGTCCTGGAGATGACCTCGTTTGCTTCCTCGGGAGAATCTGGTCTGTCCCCCTAGCCGGGACGCGCTTCAGGCAGCTCAGGTCTTCCTGTGAGGAGAAGAGCAGAGAAGAGGACTTCTCTCCTCTCAGCTCTCCAGGCTGACGTGAGCTGCTGTCATGTCATGACCTCAACTTGTTTTGTTTCTGATGGGAAATATCATCGGAATAGCTTTTGTCATGCACAATGCATGAGTCACATCTGATTGCATTTGCAATTGGTTCCTTCTCTTTTTTTTAAAGAAATGGTGACTATTTTAATTTATGACGTTATTGATCATTCTGGTCTTTTTTTTTGTTTTTTGTTTTTGCTGGTTTATGTCCTATGAAAACAACCACAATAATATTGTCTTGTCAGACGTGTGCATATTCTGATTGCTTTGGCAATCATTGTTCATCATTTTAAAGCTTTTTCATATGTTTTAATATGATGATAGTGTTCTTTCCTTGTGTTTTTGATCATATTGATCTCAACTATTTGGTCCTCCTTTGGATAAAATACAACATTTTGTCATGCACGTTGCATGAATCACATAGGATTGCATTTGTATTTCATATGATTCATTTTGTTAGGTGATGGATATCATCATGCTGATCTTGATTGTCATTATTTTTTATGTATAGGTAACTTTTCCGATGGAAACAAAAGTAATACTTAATAATCTTTTCATATATTTTATATGATAATGATGTGACTTCTTGCTGGATGACTTTTCCTTTGGAAACAACAGCAATCATGTCTTATCATAACATTCCATCATGCATGTTGCATGGCGATTATGATTGCATTCGAAATTGAAGTTGTGATTGTTGCTTGATCTTTTCATACATTGTTGGATGTGAAGACATTATGTTTTTAATGCAATGTGAATGATCATATTGGTCTCTTTTGTCCACTCATTGGACATAGTTCTATGGCACGTGACCGTCACCTGTGAAAACTTCTGATCTCTCTTGTTTTGTGTCTTTGTTTTGTTTGAACCAATAGTGTTCCTATTTTTGTCTGTTGTAAAGACAAATGTGATTGCGGCTGATTGTGTGACAGCACTTTGCAGAGTTGACCCTGTGCCAATAAACAAATGCGTCATTGTAAACACTTCGTGTTGTGATCTGATTTCATATTACAACTTTACTGCATAGTATTTTCATTTTTTTAAGAAAAAAATGGTTTATAACTTCTTCATCCATCATTATATCCAACCAACTTCAATTCAGATCTGTAATTTAAAAAAAATGTTCATTTAAAGTTTAAATTATTGTTATTATTATATTCAGAAAAAGGAAGCGAAATTCAATGCAGTACATGCGTCAATGCCGGAATATAAAAGAAGGAACGTACCAGCCCGGAAGATAAAAATAGACGCACACAACGCCGCAAAGCTAGCACTACGGCTACTAGAATACTTACAAGCAAAAAAATAAATAGTTAAACGCCGTTTCCACATAACATAATATCGTTATTAATATTTCGAATTAAGCTTGTTTTAAACATCCAAGTGACAAGAGACTCCATCCTTCAATTATTCGGTGTTCTTCAGTGTAATGCTGTGCTAAACTACACAAGTATCTTTCCAAGATTGCGCATGCGCACAGCGACATGAATATCATAATTTCATTATTTTTAATTTCATTGTAATTTTTTTGCCTCTGTAGTATGTGGTAAGTAAACCATATGCACTCATAATATTATTATTGCTCATTTAATTTCCCTTGTATTTTATATATTTTTCCTTTTTTAAATTTTTTTTTTTTTTTTTACAAAACCTAATTTAATTACAATTTTATATGATTATAAATGGAAGTGTTGCCTCAGTGCGGGAATCCAGCATAAAAAACAACATTTTTTTGCCACTTATGAACCATTAAAAAAAAAATTAAATTATCCCCCAAAATTAAAATTGGCTCTCATTATAATGCAATAATGTTGTACAGGTGGACCAAATCTTTTGGCCGGTTGGTGTATAAACGATGTCTAACTGCAACCAGTCAACACTGTTGTAAACAGTTCTTATTTTGTTTGTCATCTCTGCTCCGTCTTTGCAGATGTTCATCTTTCCTTCCACCCTGCACATTTCCCACCACATGACTGGACATGCTCAAGTGCCGTCAACACCCCCTCGCCCACCCCATCCCCTTCCACACAGGGCGCTGGGAGCCTCGGTGACACACGACTTCCCACACTGCTGAAAGGCGGCCAGCATAATAGAAGTGTGTCTACTCCCACAAAAGCCTCGGCTCGATTCCCAGGCCTAGCCAGAAGGCCACTTGACTCAACCGCCATCTGCCCGCTGCCCGCTGCCCGACCATCCGCTTGTGGGAAACACACGACGGACGCAAGACACACTCACGCACACACACGCGCACACACACACACACACACACACACACACACACACACACGCGCGCACGCGCACGGGGTCTTGTAACTATGTTACCACGGCAACAATCAACACAAGACGGAAAGATGGCAGAAGATCGGAGAAGAGTTGAGATAAGGGCATAGTGATGATGGATGAAATGTAAAACAAGGGATAGCTGGATGGTTGCGGGTAAAATAAGGGAGAGGATAGAGGGAAGGGAAGAAGTAGGCGGGATGAATGGATGGTTAAAAGACAAGAGCAAATTCAAGAAGAAAAATGGATGGATAGATAGATGATAGATAGAACAGGCATGAAAGGCGATAGATGGAAGAAAAGAAAGAAGGATGGAAGAATGGTGAAAAAAATGACGATGTTGATGATCATGGAGAAACGTAAGAAAGTTTGAAGATGATAAAGGATAGTTGGAAGTGAGCCAGAACAAAGGAAAGAATGAGGGATGGCTGGGTGGGAGAAGGAAGAAATAAAGGAGGCAGCATCGAAAAGAAAGGGGGGAAGGAAGGGGGAATGTATGAATAGTTGGATGCAAAAAGAAAACTGTAGGAAAAGAAAAAAGAAGGAAAAGGCCTCATCAAAAAGAAACGATGACAAATTCGTGATGTCAGAATTTATTTTACTCGAAATCATTTGACGCCTTATTTAGAATGAACATTTCTTAGTCAATACTTCTACTTTTGGAAAAAATAGCAAAACGTCCTTTCACAAATATTTTTGTGAATGTTTTCTCGTGAGACTCCGTCGCACATTTCTGTCACACGCTTGGGTCTCATCTGGGCGTCTCATGGAGTGGGGGTGTCGCACGTTTGGGTCGTGTACACCCAACATTTTCCCACTGACCTTCCGGCAACCAGCGAGCAGCCCACCTGCTCTGTCTGACAAGCCATTCTTGCCATTTTCCCCCCTCCCGAAAACACCCACCTCCCATCTCCTCCCTCCAGCCCCCCACCCAGGACTCGCACCCCTGACCGCAGCACGCTGGCCTGTGATTGGCCGCCGAGGAACATAAATGAGACATGCTCTACCGATCCATCTCGTCACGACCATTTGGATTCCAAAGCATAACACATCATGTCTCAGTATGCAGATCTCCAACTTCAGGACAGCATCAAGGAGCAGCTCTTTAGGTGAGGCCCTATATATATTTTCGTTTGTTTATTTTTATCGTTATGAAGTGTAAAGTCTGACTGGGAGAATTGAAAAATGTAAATCCACAATATTTTGGTTTCCTGATTTTGCAACGTGAGGGTCCAAATATTAGGAACAGCCACAATTGCATCCAAATGAGGGCTGTTCCTAATGTTTTCATTTCCTTATTTGACTACATCGAAAGTCACTGGCTTAGGGCTGATCCTATTTGGGGTTTTTTGGGTACATTTTTGTGTTCCTATTTAGGGAACTAAAGTATGAGGAACAACCATTTGTTTCTAATATTTTGATTCCTTTATTTAGAGACACAGGTACGTAAAAATATTGGGAACAAGTGCAATCTTTCGAAATGTTTATGTAGCTAAATAAGGGAAGCAAAATATGAGGAACAGCTAAAACGACATCCGACTGTACACTGTTCCAAAAATGTGTTGCCTTATTTAGGGACACAGGTGAGTCAAAACATTAGGGACAACCTCCAGTTGGATGCAGTTCAGCGTTTTTTAAAAATATTTTTGTCCCCTTAATTTGCTACGAGTGAAGGTCAAAATATTAGGAACAGTTGTAATTGCACCCAAGTGAAGGATGTTCCGAACATTTTGACATTGGCACGGAGGTACATGGCGGAATCAGATGATGGAAACGTTTTTTCTTCTCTTCTTCAGGTGTAAGCTGCACACGCTGGAGAAGAAATGCAGCGGCGGCATGGAGAAACTGCGCACCCTACTGGAGGAGCTGGTACTGCAGCGTGGCCTTCCCCTGGCCGAGCTGCTGGAGAAGAGCAAGTGCTTCCTGACGCTGAGGAGGACGCTGCTCTCCCACCAGGGTTACTCCAAACCCGCCCGGGAACTCCTGCGACTTTTTCCTGACGCGGACGAGGATCTAGCACCGCTTTGCTGCTAGCCTCTTGCCCATAATCGACTTCACAGAGAGACTCATCTCAAGTTTTGTTTGCCTCACTCAAGCGGTTTTGGAGGTGGAGAGGCTGTTGGTGGTGGACCTTTGTTGACTTTGCTGCTATTTTTTTTTTCACACAAAGTGTCTTATGGTTGTGTTACTCTTCAACCTCTCAACTATTTCCACTTTTTTTTTTTTTTTTAAGGCTGCAAATGTTTTTTTAGATTGCCTTCGGAGCAGAATGTGCGGCCGAGCACATTTTCCATATATGTCCTGCCTTGTTTCAAGGGCTCACCTGCATTATATACCTTTTATTTTCTTTAAAAGGGGACTCTACTGTTTGGTGTATGCACATGTTGTACGCTTTCAGTTTGTTTTGTGTTATATCAGATTGTTTATTTTTTTTTTAAATGAAAGAATAAATATTGCAAATTGCACAATGTATTTGCGCCTCACTTGTTTCACATTGACATCGAAGGGCAATGTCGTTTTCGGGGCTTTGGGAGGAAGTCAGACCTGGAGAACGTGCAGAAGCCACAGGAAGTCAGGAGTCGAGAGTCAAACCCAGAATTTGAGAACTGTGAGAGTACTATGTCCTAATCAACAAGTCTGCCATGCTGGCCCATAGTCAGAAAGTAGGAAAAACACAATTCATTTCTTGCAAAGTTGTCAGCACTCCCATTTGTGAGCCCACTAAAGTTAATACTGTAATACTAAAATAACAATTATGGAAAAAGCTCAAAATCCAACAATTAGCAATGATTCCGCCTTTAATGACAAGACTGAGGATGTGGTCATGTCTTATCTGCAGCTCGGTCAGATGGAGAGTAGATTTTAAAATTCTGTTACTGGTCTATAAATCATGCTTGTGGAGGCTCTCAGTCGTACAGGAAAGTTCCATCGTAGAAAGGGTTCTGTCAGTCGTCATCTGTACCTGTGGGTAAAAAACAAAAAACAAAAAACAAAAAAAAAAAAAACAAAACAAAAAAGGACGTTTCGCTTCTCTCACAGAAGCTTCGTCAGCGGTAGACAACCCTGAAGTCTCCGTGAAGACTCCGGGAAGTTGCTCTGCGCTAAAAAGCTGAGCGTGGCCT